CGGCTGCCTGATGAGAACCGGGGCACACACCACTGCGCCACCGGGATGCTCTGCCGGCCGACAGACTCCCAGCTCACCAGGCACCGTCTGCTGGTGGCAAGACGCCTCGAGGCGCCCACCACTGCGCAGTGCCCGCCACTGTGCCGGGCCAGAGGGGCTTACACCTCATGGGGAGCAGCAGAAACGAAACCCCAGCCCGAATGTGAGTGTGACAGAGGGAAGGGCTGATGGAGGATGCGAGTGTCCCCGGGGAGCAGTGTCAGGGTGTCCGGAGGGGGGTGGGTCAGAGGCCCCAGGCCGAGTGTGCTCTGGGGACCCGGCTTTCCAGGTCGGGCTGGAGAGGAAGGCACCGGGGAAGGGGAGTGACCGAGGACAGTCCCGGCCTGCGGGTGGAGCCACACCTGTGCAACAGGTAGGAAGTGGGGAACCCGCAGGTGTGTGAGCCAGGAGGCGGCGCTTGGAGTGAGGTTAAGAAACCGCTGCCTGATGAGAACCGGGGCACACACCACTGCGCCACCGGGATGCTCTGCCGGCCGACAGACTCCCAGCTCACCAGGCACCGTCTGCTGGTGGCAAGACGCCTCGAGGCGCCCACCACCGCGCAGTGCCCGCCACTGTGCTGGGCCAGAGGGGCTTACACCTCGTGGGGAGCAGCAGACACGAAACCCCGGCCCAAATGTGAGTGTGACAGAGGGAAGGGCTGATGGAGGATGCGAGTGTCCCGGGGAGCAGTGTCGGGGAGTCCGGAGGAAGGTGGGTCAGAGGCCCCAGGCCGAGTGTGCTCTGGGGACCCGGCTTTCCAGGTCGGGCTGGAGAGGAAGGCACCGGGGAAGGGGAGTGACCGCGGACAGTCCCGGCCTGCGGGTGGAGCCACACCTGTGCAACAGGTAGGAAGTAGGGAACCCGCAGGTGTGTGAGCCAGGAGGCGGCGCTTGGAGTGAGGTTAAGAAACCTCTGGAGCCCTGGCTGGTGTGGCTCAGTGGCTAAAGCATCGGCCCTTGGGCTGAAGGGTCCTGGCACATGCCCAGTCAGGGCACATGCCCAGCTTGTGGGCTCGATCCACAGTAGGGGGTGTGCAGGAGGCAGCCGATCAATTATTCCCTCCCGTCACTGATGTTTCTCTCTCTCTCTCTCCCTCTCCCTTCCTCTCTGAAATCAATAAAAACATATTTTAAAGAAAGAAATCTCTGGAGCAGCAGAGTTTTGCTGACGGGGGAGGGGCGGGGGGGACGACCGTCGGCATCTCCATCCAGTCCTTACCGGGGTGTCTTGCTCCAGGCCTGCAGAGTGTGCAGGGTGACCCTCCGTGGCGGGGGCGCCCCGTCGCTGGACCTTTGTCCCCAAAGCAGGAGAAAAGGGTTAAGTTTTACCAAGTCTGCGGCCCTCCTCCCGCTCTCACTGTAGTTAGAAACGAAGTCAGGCCACGTCGCAGTGTCCTCTGCAGGGAACACGCGGCCAAGACCGCGTCTGTGCGCTGCCGCGCTCCCTTCCCGGCCTGGCCCGGCCCAGCCGCTCACCAGGAGATGTCGCTCAGGGTGTGGTAGTGGATGTTGGACACGTAGCCGAAAGGGAAGAGCTGCTGGGTGTCGTAGAAGAGCACGGAGTCCTCGGAAGCCACAGCGAACACCACGCGGTAGGGCAGGCGCACCAGCGGCCCCTGGGCCGGCCCGTCTGTGGGACACGGGGCAGGAGGGACAGTGACACTGAACTGAGGGGCCAGAGCGAGGCTCCAGGCTGCAGCAGGGACCTGCGGGGTTCTGTGGGACACGGGGCAGGAGGGACAGTGACACCAGCACCAGCCAGGCTCCTGCAGGAACCACCAACTCCCGCCACGAGCCCTCTCCCCGGGATAATATGGGATGTAATTCCTCTAATGACGTGCAAAGGGATTTAGGTCTTCCTATTATTTTATATATGAACTAGAGGCCCGGTGCACGAACTCGTGCAGGGGTGGTGGAGGAGGGGAGAGGGACCGTGGGAGGTTGGCCGGCTGCCGGCCAAGGGAGGTTGGCTGTGGGAGCGCACTGACCACCAGGGGGCAGCTCCTGCATTGAGTGTCTGCCACCTGGTCATAGCGACCAGTCATTCCAGTCATTCAGCGGTAACGGTCGTTTAGGCTTTTATATATATAGATGCAGGAATGAACGAGAACTATGTGTGAACCAATGACACATGACAGGATCCAAGAATCCCGGGAACCGAGGTGCAAAAGGAAGAGCATTTCTGATAAGGAAATACAGGGTCACATGGAAACATTGTATCAAGTGATGTTTTCATGCTCTTTCCAGTTCATTATATTCATTCACATAAGAGTTTAGAGAGTGAAAAACAGCTCCCGCTTCCAGCCTTGGAGTAACAGGGCCCCAATTTAGCCTCCGACTTAAGACACTGACTGCCCAGCAGCAATGAAGGCCAGCGACCCCCGAGCGGTGGGGAGCAAAGGCATGATGTGCTGCCGCAGCCTCAGCTCACCGCCTGGTCTCCAGGCCCAGCAGAGGGAGGGGACCCGGCAGTGCCCGCACGTGCCCTGAGCTGCGGAGCCAGAGTGAGGCTCCAGGTTGCAGCAGGGACCTGCGGGGCCCGTCGTCTGAGCTGAGCACTGGCCGGTGCACGCGGGTAGGGAAGCAAAGGCCCAAGCAAGCAAGAACAGGAAAGAGATGCCCGGCCACTGGTTGAGGGACCTGCGGGGCCCGTCGTCTGAGCTGAGCACTGGCCGGTGCACGCGGGTAGGGAAGCAACCCGAGGCCCAAGCAAGAACAGGAAAGAGATGCCCGGCCACTGGTTGAGCGTCAACCCAGGAACCAAGAGGTCACGGTCAATTCCTAGTCAGGGCACGTGCCTGGGTTGCGGGCTTGAACCCCAATAGGGGGGCGTGCAGGAGGCAACCAATCAATCATTCTCTCTCATCATTGATGTTTCTCTCTCCCTCTCTCTGATATCAATACATATATATATATTTTTTTTTAATTGCTCTAAGCAAAGACAGTGGGATACACAGTTTGGTAACATCAGTCTCTGTTCCAACTCCTCCGAGTAACTAAACTGAGCCAAACCCACATGCCCACCTTTCCCCGAGGTCCCTGAGATAAAATCCAAACCCCACCACCCTGGTGACCTGCCCGACGGGAGACACAGCACACCGCTGGGTTCTGATGTACCTGTTTCCGCCTCCGGCCTCAACTCAAAGTAGACGGGGCAGCAGCGGACAGCAAGCGTGGCTTTTCCGGGACACGGGAGATGCGCCACAGGCCTGGAGGTGAATCATGGGTTAGAGAGACCATTGCTCAACAAAAGCAGAGAGAGGGCCAAGGTCCCCGACAGTCCTTCAGGCGCTCACCTTTTCAGATTCTTCCTGGAGAAGAGGTACGTGGTGTTGGTTACATTTTCGCCAGACTCCACGCATCCGGCTGGGAGGCAGGGGAGGCACTGTTATTAAACTGTCCACCAGCAAACCCAAGGCAGCCAATTCTGGTTTAAAGTCATTTTCCCGAGAGATGGACTCCCTGGACAGTGTGTGCGATTGGGACAAATACAAACCATCCACACACCTGGGCTCAGCCTCACTCTGGCTCCACCCACCTTCCTCTCACCTGAGGGCACAGCCGCCCGGAGCCACGCCCAGGCCAGGGCAGGAAGAACATAAAGCTCTGTGCCTGCATCCCCACCTCAGCTGCCGTCCAGTCCGCGGGCTGACCCTGGCCTCTTCCCGTCTGCCTGATGGAGCCAGGAGCTGCCAGGAGACAGCCCTCGGCCGAAACCCCAGCCCTGCAGAGCTGACCCGATCTGGCCGCCCCACTGACGTCTCCACTCCACCCTCCCCAGGCCGCACTTGGCACAGCCAGACCCAGCGAGAGCGACCTGCAGACCCGGCTGCTCTTGGACACGTCTCCTTGTCTTCTGCTGCTGCACGCAGCCTCACTCTGGCTCCACCCACCTTCCTCTCACCTGGGTGTCATCTCACCTGAGGGCACAGCCGCCCGGAGCCACGCCCAGGCCAGGGCAGGAAGAACATAAAGCTCTGTGCCTGCATCCCCACCTCAGCTGCCGTCCAGTCCGCGGGCTGACCCTGGCCTCTTCCCGTCTGCCTGACGGAGCCAGGAGCTGCCAGGAGACAGCCCTCGGCCGAAACCCCAGCCCTGCAGAGCTGACCCGCTCTGGCCGCCCCACTGACGTCTCCACTTCACCCTCCCCAGGCCGCACTTGGCACAGCCAGACCCGGCGGAGAGCAACCTGCAGACACGGCTGCTCTTGGACACGTCTCCTCGTCTTCTCCTGCTGCGCGAGCACACACACACACACACACACAACACACACACCACACACATACACACACACACACACACACACACACTCTCTCTCACATGTGACCACTGCGTATCCACCAGGAGGGCAGCAGCTCGCCCCATCCTTCCATCCCCAGGATCCACTCTGACAAACACCTCGCCAGCCCTGCATTCCCTCCAGGCTCACGTAACCGTGACAACCACATATACACACATGGTGGGCTGTAGTTTACTTTATAAAATGGGGTGTTATTTAGACTTTTCCTTATTTTGCTTTTCTTAGTCAACTACTCATGAAAAAGATCTTGCACAGCAACCAACGCTTTCTTTTTCCCCCTCTCCCACCCTCCTTGGGTTCCCTCCCCTTATATTTTATTCCAATTTTCGCCTTATTCTAACCCACACCTTCTATGTGACACTGGCACTCCCGGAGGCGACACGCGGGCCCACCCTGCACCCGCCCCGCGAGCCCGGCTCCACGCACCTGGGGTGAGCAGCAGGGAGCCGTCGGGAGTGAAGCTCAGTCTCCGGAAGAACGACTTCATGCTGTCGTCGTGAAACATCCGGTAACTTCTGGCCTGAGGCACAAAGTGTCAACGTCACCCCAGCCTCCCAGAAAGCTCACCGTTTCCTCCTGTGCGACCATTTATTATGACGGTCATCAATAGAACCAAAACAACATATCACCAATCCAATACTCCCGTGGGACTGCGAGAGTAATCAGCCACCAACAAAAGTAATCGCCCTTTTGTTCAGGAAAGCTTGTGTGTGCACGTGTGTGCAAGGGTGTGTGTGCACATGTGTGCGTGCATGTGTATGCACATGTGTGCGCACATGTGTGTGAGTAACTGGTTTGTGTGGGGATGAGACTGGGAAAAAGCAAGAGGATGACGAGCCCTCTGCTTGCTGTCCATGTGTAACTGAGAATTTCCACCCGAATAAATGCTTTTTTAAAAGACTGTAGTGATCATTAAACTGGCGACCAGATCTTTCCGAACCACCCTTCTTGAGCTCCGTGTGGAAGTGCTGCGTGCGCCCCCACTTCAGGAACATCGGGACGTTAGTTCCAGGAACCCAGGGAAGCATTACCCCTCGCTTCCCAAAGCGCG